ATGCTATTGTAGGATGCCAGGCTCAAAAGTGCAAAATGTAGCATAATATTTTCTCCACATTAGTTTTAGAATGATAAAATCAGACAGCTTTATATATATATATATATCATTAGGATTATTAATTATATTACTTATTATATTACATTACATGTATCGGGTTCTAATAAACATGGGTTTACGTCTCCTCGCTCCGACTGTGGTGTTATTAACGCAGTCATTGGACAAATGTTCACGAGTCGTATGCCACGATATTGTGTGGAGCAGATTTATATATAGAATCTCCTTCTTTCTGGTCTATAGGCTTAAATTATTTATCCTATACACCCCAATTTATGAATTCAAAGCCTTGCACGGACATCGCTGTGTTGAAGCATGATAACACAGTGGAAACCTGAAATAACAGGGATGGTGGGACCAGAGAAAAAGTCCGGTTATATCAGATCCCTGTTAAATCAGAAATGCAAGGGAAGTAAGACTTTGTATACTAATCTAGCTGTTTTTTTTATTCATGGGTAGTTTCTCTTGCCACAAGTACCCACGAACAGGGGTTTGGTCATGTGGCAGGCCTGTGCATGACACATTACGCGTGCGTGTAGCTGGGCATAGGGCAAGATCGAAGTCTGCAGCACACTGCAGCCCTCTCTCGCTTCACCCGCTGCGTGTGCTTGCAGTTGCGTGGCTTGCGTGGGCTTGCTCTCTCTCTCTCTCTCTCTCTCTCTCTCTCTCTCTCTCTCTCTCTCTCTCTTACTTTTTACACATTGTTAACAAGCCTTTGACCCTGCTTTAACCGATTGGGCTCCGATGAGGCCCTGTTATTGCCGGTAACTTTTAATAAAGACAAAGAGTAGGAAAAAAACGAGGATTTAAAATATCCCGGGCCTGTTATATATTGTTTCCACTGCATTATTATGTGGCATATGTGTGATTACATAGTATCAACCGGGGCATTATAATAGGCCTTGTACATATATCAATTTTTTAAAAACTTAAAACACACACACACACACACACACACACACACACACACAC